CGTTCCTTGCCTCATAATTCCTACTTTAACTGGTACTAAGATTGTATAGTTTGTGACTTTCTTCGTTGTGACTTTTTAATTATGGTAGATATACATTTATCATAAATGTCATATATCACCCATACTGTGTCGGATTCTTATGAAATTTATATTTCTGGAATCGCGGTACCTTAAGGATTATAAATATGCTAACATGCTCTCAAAGTGATGCGACTTTTAGTGTACTTATTTTTTAGCCTAAAGGTTGACGTAATTAAAGATGAAAATTTCGAATATATTAAAATATATCAGGTGGTTACACGGTTGTCCTTATTATATTCTTACGACCTATCGTTAAATGTTAACAGCGGTTGGTGACGTATTCTCTGGGTTGTCATAGTCACACGGCTTCCATTTCATTCTCAACTAATTGCATTATACTTTAAGTTATTCCTAAATCAACTATGGTGTGTAACTTTGTACTCTTCCAGGCTAGTACTTCATCATTCTGTAAAGCACAAATCCTTACTACAAATAGAATTGTCTTTATTAGTGTGGAACATAGCATTGGTATAACCTTTACTTTGATGTCTTACATACTAAGATCATCTCCTTTGTCATCCTAGGACGCTAAGGAATGTATTTGACTTTGAATAATTTATTCTCGCGATGTTGATCTAATCCGACCTATGATGCTCGAGGCATAAGAGTCATCAGATCTACTATATGTCATGACATAGATGATCGATCCCATAAGTAGAATCATGTGGACCATGACTCATTTCTTCTAGATTAACACTAGAGAATTAGAAATGCTCAATGTCATGTCGTACATTATGAACAATGTCCAGTTTCTTCGAGATTTCATGTACCTTGGCATAACCTAATGAATTACTCAGATCTATCTCCATAGATCATTACGTTCAGTACGTGAGTTGTTTCTCCCATGTGTCTTAAGTAAAACAATTTTTCAAACAAATCCAAGCTTTTACACTTGCTATGTTAGAACATTGTTTCCTATGAATTGTATATTCTCATAATACATTACAAGGGTGACAACAATACTCCTACTAACATTGACATATACATGTATACAAGGCTCATCTTCGTTTCCCGAAATTCAAACTCCTTGAACTTTCTCATTGAAACAAAGATCCCAACTGCTCCCACTAGCTTTGACATAACTTATGGTCCATTTTCGTGTTTAGGAATTCAAACTCCTTGAATTCTGTCATTGAAGCAAAGATTTTGTTTCATGAGATGCTTGTTTAATTCATAAATGAACTTCATAAGCTTACACATTCTTCCCAACCTTTCTTGTTTTGACATTGTGTATGTTCACATCCATATTTGATATCTTCTTGAAGATCCACTAACACTTACGTTTTTAAGGTCAAGTGTTTGATCAACCAAGTTTCAAACTTAAATGGACCAATTCTCTATCTTTATGTCATCCTTCCATCTTGTAACTTTTTAGGGCCTGCCATGAATTCTGATAGACAACATAGTCTAATTATAATCTACTAGTGCCTAATTCCCCTCAGTAATATAAAATCTAACAACTAGGCATATGACGTTGTAACATTGTGATTTTTACCATTAAAATTTTTTGTACTTATATCAAAACATCACCAATGTCATGTTAGCTTCAGAAACATCCCTCAAAAACATTTTATGTTTATTCGAACCAAATATAAGTGAAATATCAATCAAAACATATCCAAGGGGTAACAACTACAAAAATAAAATACCAAGAGCACAACTACCCAAAAATGATCCCAACTTCACCAAGCCACACTATCAATCAACATATACCAATACAAGGCAAACATGACAAACAACAACAATATGAAATTGTCAGCAACTCTTTAATGAGCCAACCAGTTGTACAATGTCAAAGTGAAAACATATAATTCCCTAACAGGTCAATCATTCGAATTGTCAACACACAACTTGTTTTCAAACATTACATATCACATAACATCGTATAGTGTCAACATTCATTGTTATAATAATATCTTATTCTTCGTTTAATTGTAATGACTTGTCCTCATTCCTTGCTGTAATTATTATTATTATTTCCATCATTATAATAATAATATGCATCATTATAATTATTTGTCCTCACTCGATGTTCTAATTACCATTAATAATATTTCATCTTTGTAATTACTTATTCTCGTTCTTCTTCGTAATTACTATTATTAATATTACATCATTCTAATTGCTTATCCTCGTTCCTCTTTGTAATTACTTTTATTAATATTCCATCATTGTAATTACTGATACTCGTTCCTCGTTGTAATTACTATTAATAATATTTCATCATATGTAGGTCCCTATTTGACAGACACCGAAAAGAACAACCCCTTTCACTACTAGCATGACTGACTCAACCCAATGCACTACGTGAGGTGGTGAATCTCACCCATAACATTATCTATTGTTTGATGTGTTCGCTACTTTGATAATGCATGTACAAGGACGATAAGTTGTCGATCGAGAATGGTAATAGTGGTATTTCCAACATTATACCTCTCACTCAAACATGATGTTTGCATCGGCATTCCTCGTAGAGCCAACATCACTCCAGTTCACCCATGCTTGGTGAACCGTGTGTCGAATTGGTCGTCTAGAAAAACCATTTGACTGGTTATCCTCGTAGAACCAAAATTAACTGACTTTCCTCGTGGAGTCAACACTAAATGGTTTTCCTCGTTGACCCCACACTACTTGGATTTCTTCGTAAAGCCAACACTACATAGCTTTCCCTATAAGTTCAACACTATTTGGCTTTCCTCGTAGAGCCAACACTACCCTTTGCCCCTCTATGTATATTCTCCTTCATTTTTAGTTATTTATAATTATATACAAAGGGTCATTTTCATTCCATATTATTATGCATAATTTTCCTCATATAATGTGGGATATTACATAAGAATTAAATGAAGATAATGTTGATGATTCAACTACATGGTAAGAATAGAATCGTCTCCCTATGATGGAGCAATGTCCACAATAGAATAACTCCATCTTTATTACATGTGTTTGAAATAACGGTTGGGTTGGCGAAGATGACATGTAATAGTTGAAGCCAAACACTTAACTATGATGTTGGTTCCTCAACAATAACAAAGAAAAATATCTTTGTGTGAGGGGAAAGTTTAAGAAAACAAAGGCATTAATGTTGTGTTTGGTATGCAGAACAGAACTGGACAGAACAGAACAAGATATCTTCAACATGCGTTCGACACGTATGGGACAAGAACAAAATAAGTTATTGACCATATCAATGGGACTAATTCCTTAAAATTTAGTCCCATCCAAAACCATGGAACCCAATAGAACAATAATCAAAATGAGGAAATAACCCTTTTGGCCTTTCCCCACTTCTCCATCCCTCTTATTCACCTTTCCCACGAGAACTCTGGTGACACCCTTCCACACCCCTACCGACGTTGGTAGTTTGTGACATCCTAAGCTTCACACAACTAAAAACAATGGGTATTTTTTTTACCAGAAGAAGATCATAGCAAAATGGTGTCTTGTTTGTTGTCAAATCAAAGACATGTTTTTCCTTGATTGTATAAAAAAAGATCGAAAATAATGTCGTTTGAAGTGACCAAGCACCATACCAGTGTTCTTTTATCATAAAATCAAGAACTATTTCCATAAAGACAAAATTTATCTCTAAAGTTTTAGGGCTAACAGCCCTAATTATCAGCAATTGACACCTTTCTACAGCCTTAGTGAAGTAGGAGCAAAGGGGGACTAAAGCATATAACTGAACTGAAGCAGAGATAAAAAAAACCACAACAACTATGAATATTGTTTACCTTCCTAAGCCTTCGAATCGATCTATTCGTATTCCTTATCATGGGCATTTTAATTTCAATCATATTTATTTTGGTAGGGGCATTGTTAGGGATAATGAGTAAAATGATGAGGGGATGTTATGGATGTATCAGACCCCTCAGATGGGTTAAGGCGACGATGGCCATGGTTTTGAAGAAGACGTATAACTAGCGACGATAGTCATGTATTCGAAGATGAAAGGGACGAAGAACTTCTGGGTAAATATTAGAGACTTTGAAACCTACGTTTGCTTTATTTATAACATATATTAACTTTTTCAATAAAATTATTATATTTATAATTATTATATGATAAAAGAAAATATTAAAACAATCTCGAGGACAAATTGGTAATTTAAATATATGTTCTATTGAGTTCCAATCTTAACAAATGCTACACAACAAATTCTGTTTAGTTCCGTTCCGTTCAGTCTAAGTTCAATCCAATCCAATTCAATCCATTTCCGTTACATCTAGTTCATGTGTTAAACGCTATAATTAGGGAGCAAAGCTACAACAAACCCATCAAATAATGATCTTTTTGCATATTAAAACTACATTGGGCATTGGTAAAAAAATCGCAAACATGGTGTACCCTTTTTGAAGCTCTCTCTAAATATAATAATATCATTTGTTAATATAAATTCAAAAAAACTTATACTAATGACCATTTTTTCAGTTTTCTCTAAATAACAATTTTCTCTTGGTTGCCTAATTTCGAATTTAATTTTGAAATTCTAATGTTTGTTTTTCCAAAATTCGAAATTTCGTTTCGAAATATAGAATGTTGTTGCGAAATATACTTTAAAAAAATATTATTTGATCAATCCGGAATTACCCATTCCGGATATGTTGATCATTTAAAAAAAGTACATTTAAAATTAATTTCTTTCTAATTAACTTAAAATATGGTTAGTTATTTTATTTCTTAATAACCCCTGTTAAATAATAAATATAATCATGTTATTTATTAACATAAATTATAATTAGTTATATTTATTATTTAACAGGGGTTATTAAGAAATAAAATAACTAACCATATTTTAAGTTAATAATTTCTTTCTAATTAACTTAAAATATGGCTAATTATTTTATTTCTTAATAACCCTGTTAAATAATAAATATAATCATGTCATTTATTAACATAAATTATAAAAACATATATATCTCTCTGTCTCTCTCTCTCTCTCTCTCATATTGGATGATTCACATCAACTACTGTTTCTTGCGTTCACTACTCTCGCTTCTTTTCCGTCGACCTATCTGCTTCTATACTTCCATGAAATCGTGGTATTTCTGCTGTGTTGGTCTCGACCCTTGAAATATTTATCCTTTCAGTTTCATCATCTTTTTCCCTAAGTCACTTAAAATTTCATTCAAACAAATCGAATTTTCAAGAATCGTTAAAATAGTGAGAAGATGATTAAGAAGAAGACTCCCGATAATCAGAACGTGAAGAACAAACAGTTTCTGATCACTGTCAACGTGCTTGGAAGTTCAGGACCTTTGCGATTCGTGGTGAATGATGATGATAAAGTTTCGGAAGTAATTGATTCGTCTCTAAAGAAGTATGCTCGTGGTGGACGACTTCCTGTTCTTGGCTCTAATTTCGAGAACTTTTTGCTTTATCCAGCAAATGCAGGATCTGAAGGTATGCGCAGATTTCTCTTTGATTTGTTGTGATTCTATCTTGTTGATTGTTATATCGTTAATTTGGAGTAATCTGTTCATGCATATCCACGTCTAGCTATATCAATATCATCAAGAACAAGTAATTAACTATTTCTATTAGCAAATGCGAAGTTTTTCTTTCGTAGATTTTCAATTCGTAACTGATCATTACATTGATAAATTAGTAGTTTTAAAATTGTTGTTATGGTGATATTATTAGTTCATTAATATTAATATTAATATGTGTTGTTTTGTTATAATTTGTTTGCCCAACATTTTTTACTATTTTATCGCCGCCAAATCCGTTTTTTATAATTAATTATTAGGACTAATTATGTTTTTGTTTTAAATTATGGTTTTTGCTGCAAAGGAATTTTGCCATTCTTAATAAATACTTTACCCCTATTTAAAACATATTTATACATATGTGAAGCCTTGTTTTTATTCTCCATCCAAAAATATGAAAGTAGAGATGTGTTTCTTTTGTTTGTGCAGTGTACTCAAAAATGAAAGGAACGGTGTTGGTGTGGAGGAATATGTTTGATCTCATTCAAACAACTGAATCTAAATATTTTGGTTTTCAAAATATTGATCCGAATAATCCAAATTAATTCTAAATTTGAACTTATTCAACCAAATTACAATTATTAAACCGCATATAATTAAAATCTGAACTACTATATGGAAAAAACAAAAATAAATTATTTATCTGTAGTTTAAAATTTATAAACTATTAAAAATATATATTGTAATTTAATATGTTAAAAATAAAAAACTTTTGAAAGAAAAATACATAATAAGGCTTACTATTAGATGTAATTTTTTGAATTTATTTGAAATAATAAATTAATAAATAATTAAAAATATATATTAATAAAAAAGTTTATTATTTAAATTCTTTGATTATTATATTTTTATCTTATAAATTTAAAGTATTAAAATCAATACGATTATTAAAATTAATCTAAAAATCCAAATATCCCAAGAAAATTTTCAAAATGTACAATTCGATTTTGTTAAGGAAAACCTATATATGATGTTATCTTACCTGCAAGGGCATTAAGGTGACCAATCAAAATTAGGAATTCTTTTTTTTTTTCATAATAAAATATGTTATATAATATCGATAAAATTATAAATATATTTTAATATTATCGATATAACTCTTTTTCCAAAATACTATAATGAAATTGTAAAATTAAGCGTAGGTTGTTCTAAACTTCCGTACGATAAATACACCAAATATAAGATATATTAATGAATTGTTGATGTGTAACAAAATATCATTAATATATAAGATATAGTTTTTTTTGGCTATTTTATATACATATACAAAATTTATCAAATATAAAAAATTAATTTATCAATTTATTATGTTCTTGTACCGTATAAAACAATATAAATATGTTCTATAATATCTGTTATTATACCAAATAAATTAATAAAAACTTCTATATAACTTATTCGACTTATGAAAATGGCATTTCTTGTAAACTCAAGAAAGTATGGCGCATTTAGCTTAGATTTGTACCCATTTTAGTTACTTTGGTTCACTTGTCAATTCAACAATAAATTAATACATAAAACATATATACTTTTCATCTAATACAATAAATTATATATCAAACAAATTTGAAAGTAATATGTTAATATTAACTTTCTTTAACATTTTTCCCATTTTGTTGTTGGGATGTTAAATAAAGAATCTTGATTACTAAATGCGTTATTATCACAAATAACATATTGTAAACAATTTATCTTCTAGATCATCTATTTTTCAATTGTATTAGGTAAGCTTTAATTTGTTATAGGTTATAATTACATAAGGGGTACATTTCAACCAGGTAAACTATCGTATGTGTTAGGCAATGTAACAATTAATATGAGATAATTTGTTGGTTTAGGCCCTATCTAACCCTACTATTGTGGCTGCTATATCATCTGATATAATAAAATTACCTGATTAAAATACATTACAATAGTGATAGAAACTAATAAAAAAATTAGTGATATTGAATACAATTACAAAGATTAGTAACTTAAAATACAAATTGTATATTATTTATTGTCAACTTTATAAGGTTAACCTAAGTATTTATGTGAATAAAATTGTTGGCAGCAATGAAAGCAAATGAAGTAGTGGGGTCATGTGGCGAAAGGAATTTTCTGATGTGTAAGAAGCAGAGACATCCTCAGATGACTGAAGTTCGATCGGAGAAGATAACCGGTCATAGCCGAAATCGTGGTTGGAAGGCATGGTTCAAGATCTTATCTCATTGATTAATCTTCCGATACAAACTTGTACTTTGGGTAATATTTTTCCCATATACAAAATGGGAAAACAAATAAAATATGTATTATGTAAAGCGCTAATAAAATGTGTTTGTGGCTATTAGTTAGATGTTTTATTTTGTTACAATATAGAAGATGATAATTTGTCTGATATATCTTTATTAAAATACATAAATCTGCACTGATTTTTATTAATATATTATAAAACTTGCATAATTAAAAAATGCACTGATTTTTTATGCTTAAAAAAAATTATCAAAAAATTGAACTCGTATCCGATATACGTATGAAATGTGTTAAATTCCTTTAGCATAAAATGATTTGGAGCAGGACAAACATGGATTATTGGATATAGAAAAATAAATATGAAAGGGATTTGTCGATAAAAATGACAATTTTGCTCTTTTATCAGTTATGTGGCACTCTCTACGCGGCATTATGTGATGGCGATTATATTTTTATTTTGGTTGAAGAACTAAGGTAGTTGGTGCAAACTTTATTCCAATATGATTTCGACCATATTATATGATGAGGTCCAAAGGTTTAATAATTTTATCGAAGCTACTTTTTTATAATTATGCAGTTTTATATACAATCGATACACCGACTTTGTTAATTAATCTCACTATCGTTTCATCCAAACGCTATCGGGTAATTGTATTTATATTATGAAAATAATTATATAGAATCTTATATATATTGTTGTCGTTACATTCGATGAGGCAAACTTTGCACCTCACCCAGTAAAATAAATAAATTAAAAAACATTTTTTTTATCCATAACATAATCTAATAGAAATAACTTAAAAAACAAGCACAAGAACAATACAATAGAAGTTGTTTATAAAGAAACTTCTCATTGATGTTTTTAATATTGATTACCAAGTATAATTAGCCCTAAAAACATTATCTTATTATCGTTTCGTAAATGATAGATAAAATTCTCATTATTATTCATTATGATTGTTATTATCTACGTTTGATTGCGGTTTGATTGCGATAAATGATCTCTCATTTAGACTATATAATACATAGATTTCAAAGGAAACACAAACAAAAGACATAAGGCAAAAACTCAAAAATAATATAAGAAATACTATAATTTTGATATTTTACATTTTATGAAAAGGTCTATAATGGTGCACCACGCGGTAGACCGAGGAAATCCATTACCGGCCTGGTACTTACTAGATCGGCGATACAGACACCGTGGCTTGGCACGAACGAATCTAAATTCGAATACAACGTACACAAGTATCGGAACCATATCCAAGGAAACATGCAAAAGAGATGGTACAAAACAATAAAATAACAAGGAAATGAAAAGAGACGTGTCTGTCCGTAGACCGGATAATAGATGAGGGACCAGGAATGACTATAAACCTTTCTAACAACGAGCGGGCTATAAATACCCGAGAGACATGATATCCAGAAGGGAGCAAGGTAAGGCAAAAAAAAATTTATATAGCATTAAGACAACACTAAGAATCTCAATTTAACTTAGGCATCGGAGAGCTATATGTTGGGGTCTAACCCTCGGTATGCCTGTCTGACCTAGCACTTGTTTAACTTATGCATAGAGGATTCTCGGAAGCTTATTAGACTAAGACCTTTAGGTGGTAGAGCTAAGCACACGCCTAGAGTTTGCTATAACAACATTGGTGCCATCGGTATTATGAGGGCACCGGCGTGACAAACAAAAGGAATACCCGATAAGTAGGTCGAAATTGAAACATCATACGCAAGGCAACATGCCAAATAGTAAACTAAAGGAAACAAACCACCCATTGCACGCAGAAGAAAAAGACATTGAGCATCTATGCGATATGTTTAATGTCGAAAAGGAATATATCGCTCACCACCAAGAAGACGAGGCAATACTTATATATAGGCAGATATATGATATATGTATTCATAGGATATATTGTGATAGTGGGAGTTCGACTGAAATTATGTACGACCACTGCTTCTCACAGTTACCGGATCAGACGAGGAAAAAGATGAAACAACCGGTAGGGCATTTAACAAGCTTTGCGGGACACTCTGTGTGGCCGAAAGGGATACTATCTATTTCGTTAACATTAACAGATCAGTTAACATAAGCCAAAAACACACAGACAATAGCATTCACGATTATACAACCAATGTCACCATACAATATCATATTCGGGAGAGGCACCATGAGAAAGTTCGGAGCAATCATGTTAACGATCCATGACGTGGTCCAGTTCTGTAATACCCGGTTCCAGATATGTTATTATTTTCGAGTATGTATGGTAATCTTCTTTGGAACCCACGACGTGGTGAAGCCTCACCACGATGTGGTGACGAGTTTTGGGCCGAATGGTTTAATGAACCACCACGACGTGGTGATTGCGCCCCGACGTGGTGGTGGCTGTTGGGGAAAACCCTAAAGTTTAAGGGTTGAACCCTATTTAAAGATCCTTAGCTCCCTTCTTGCCCCATCCCATCAGTCTTCATCTCTCCAAATCGTCCCTTGCAAACACTAGAGCCATTTTGTGAGTTTTAGCCTTGAAAGTGTGGGTTTTTGGTGCATGACTGCATGTTGTAACAACCTGTTACTTTCCGAGTCAACAAAAGCTAAATCCAATAAATAAAATTCGAGTCTTTATTTATTTCGTTAAGTTCGTAAAGATTAGAAAATAATTTAAATTATATAAATAAAGTTTATATAAGTTTATATAAGGTTTCGGAATCAAAAACACTCGAAAAACCAAGAATTTTTCCCTCGAAACCGCAAACCTCGTGACAGCAAACTGTTTTCGGCCGAAAACCTTCGGACCGAAAACAGATTTCGGCCGAACACCCTCTTTCCAGCCGAAAACCCAACCGGATATATTTGTTTCATCCGAAAACTTAGTCATTTTCTCACCTTTTCACTCGAAAACACTTTCAATTCTCTCTCAAATATCATCCAAGAACATTCATATCTTCAAGAACAATCTTTTGAATCTTCATATTTTTCACCAAGAACACCAAGAACAGCCTTCAAATCTTCAAGTGACCGAAAACAGCTCAGGACCGCAATCCGTTTTCGACCGAGAACCGTTTTCGGCCGAGAACCCCTAGAACCGAAAACTCATCAACACTTGTGCAATTTTCGGTAATCACTCTCAACACAAAAACAAGTGTTTTCTAACACTTTAATTAATGGCTTTGCTAATTTAAATACAATTATGTGGTTAAATATTATTAGGATACCATTAGTTCTGCGTACGCCAACTCGAGGGTCATCTCTACAGTCCGCTGTCCAGTTACGAGCACATAATAAAAGTAAGTTCATACCCCTACTTTTACTATTTTCAATGTTTTTATGGGGGGGATACAAGTAAAACACAAGGATTTCTGTGTTTTTATACAAACGATTTCCAACAGTTTCAAAACTTTTGCAATTGATTCAAATAGAGATTTCACTACATTTTACAAATACATTCATATATTTTAACCCTTTTGTACCATGTCTAGCATAAGGGTGTTTTCCCTCATACAACTAAATTGCAAAAGCTTTCAATATAATACAGTTCATATAGGAAACTATAATTGGTATAGTTTGGGAACACTACACTACTTTTACTAAGTACAATACACGAAACAATAACATATATACAAACTATAATAGGTATAGTTTGGGATACAATACACTATTTTAATAGTTCAGAAACAACATGTAAACTATGGTAGATATAATTTATGGAACACTATACTTTATTCCTGATACAAGGATGCATTACTAAATAATTATTTAAGTATAATTATTTTACTTTACAAAATACATTACCTAGATTTTCAAGTACAAGAGAACACTACAATAGTACACGTAAACTAGTTAATACAGGGTTGTGAGGCACTACATCAATTGTACCCACCAGGATACGGAACTAAATCCTATACAATATAACCAGAGTCTCCTGGAGGGAGAGCGTGGGATTTGTGTATAGATCTATATGGGACTGACAATCCCACACCTGAACTGCTAGCTACAGTTAGGCCGGCAGGCCTGGGGTGACAAATGTCATAACGTTTCCGAGGCCTGAAGAACGTCGTAGAGGTTCTTAGGTCATATCAAGATGGTTATACGAAACTCACAACAATATAAACTAAAACATTTGTTTACGGGATTTCATTTCTTCGAATGGTTTTATTTTAACTAATACAACTACACTACATTACAACTGGAGGATTCCAGGGATTCCAAACAAACGGTTTTATTTTAATTAATGAAACTACAGTACACTACTATACATTACTACTGGTGGTATCCAGGGATTCATACACAGGTTTTCATACAGTACACTATTATACATTACGACTGGTAGTAACCCGACATACATACAAAGGTTTTCACACAAGGGTTTCATAACAAACACTACTATGTTATACAGAACAAACATACATTTTGGTCTTAAGGCCCAAGACTACTTTTCATTACTAAAGAAAATATTGGATTTTCTTGAGGAACACATACAAACATTATTCAAAGATCAATGACAAGTTTCCATTACAAAAACATACTTATGAACTCAACAACTTAAATGTTGATACACTTTCAAAACCACTTGTATTCTCAGGGAACCGGTAGACAGGTACACCCGCAAGTTTTGAGAAGACGGAGCTTTTAGAGTCGCGTCTTTTATACTTTTGTTATACATTTTTGATGTCATACTAATTATGTATTGAACATATGTAAATACTATATTCAATCAATGTAATGGTTGTGTTTGCTTTGATTACTATTATGCAATTGTTGTGATACTTTACATGACGTCCTCCGCCGCCGAACGTTTCCGCCGTTCCGGTTTGGGGGTGTGACACTTGTGAAGGAAAAAGGTGGTGGAAGACCTCATTAGGAGTCCAAGGCAAAGAAGATCCAGGAGTTTACCATCCTGTAGCATCTCAAGGAGGTATAAAGACTTCATCTTGATGATTTTATGATTAGATCTATGGATTTTCCCCCTTTTTCTCTATGTCTTGTTGCCTTATGTGGTTGAACTTCATAAAGCTTGCAACTTTATAAGTCTCCAGGCCATTTGGAGCATTTGGCTCTTTGCATCAAGTTTGGAAT